CTCCAGCCCCCCACCAGAGAAGGGAAAAGTTATGTGGCCCTTACAGGGAAAAGTTTGGGGACCCCTGCCTTAAAGGATGAAGGGAATCTTGAAACGAACTGTGAAAACTGGTTCTGAGCAATATTTCACTACAATATCCTATCTGCCACGGACATCCGGCCCAGCACGTGATGCCACTCCGATCACTTCCTGTTCACGGTCAACACAGTGTTAGCGAAAGATTTTTTCACCCGACAACGACTCTTAATGATCTCCACAGTATAGAATTATCATATTACATGTACCAACATTAACACAGGAGACGTACAGGTCCAACCAAGTGGAAAAAAATCACTCCAAAGTGGATTAAAGACATAAAAACAAAGGAAAGACGTTTGTGTTTATGGTTCCAGAATTTAGCCTTTTTCGCTATTCCTTGGCTGCTTGTTCCGTGAATTTTTCACGTAGAGCTGTGACACTTATATTGTTGGAAAGAGCAGAGTCTGGGCTTTAAATTGATGGGCTACTTGTATGGTTTGGATCATTTTCCCTGACGTTGTGAACTGAAAACGTAATGATTATCAGGAGGAGGTTCTGCTGCTCTCGGGGGAGGATGGGGCGGCGCTTGTCGCTCGGCTTTAGTCTACGCTGTAATATACACTCTAACAAGGTTTTACTTTAGTCTACGCTGTAATATACACTCTAACAAGGTTTTACTTTTGCATAAAACTCATGACAAAGTTGCCTAAAAACATTTCGTACTCTGTATGACACACACACACACACACACACACACACCTACCTTTGTACCGGCTGGTGTGTTAGCTTCATGCTAGCTGTCGTGTGAAGGAGGTCTTTCCTCTCTTGTCTTGGCAGTAAAAGAGGATAAATGTACATTTCTCTTTTGTAACCTCCATCTTCTCATTTCTGATGCTGACTCTTGAATATCCTCAGGTTAGAAATGCTGATTACAAACACAAGCGTGAGCTTTTAAAGATAAGTTTTGCCTGTAATGCATTGCAGTCGCCTTAACTCTCATCAACAGGAAAATGGATAAAAACTAACTACTCTATCATGTCTGCTGGTTAGTGGACACAACAGCACACAACAGAACTCACGTTGTATACCAGTAGATCACAGATGCTTTAACTTTTGTGACTTTTTCACGGACTAGTACTAGCAGCTAACGCTAACAACAAAGGCAGTAAGCAGGAAGTGGAAGGGAGGAGTGTGGCCGGAATGTTACAGGAAATGTGTCATTAATGACCGTGGCATATAGGCTATTGAAGTGTGCATTAACTGTTGATATGATGAGAAATATATATTTTTTTACATTATTTTTAAAAACAATTACTGACCACTTTGCTGCATAAAATCCCAGTAAACAACTTTAAAGTTTGTAACGAGACGAACCTTAGAGCGTCCTCTCAGGTCAGCTGGTGTTGAAACAACTCCAGTAAATAATTCATCCTCCTCAGAGGCCACCTGTTGCATGTAGGTGAGCCGCGCTTTAAAAAAAGAAGAAGAAAAAAAAACAGTTTGTTGGTGTCATTAACGCGCCGGCGAACCTCCCAGGAGTCGCTGTCAGAGGTGGAGGAGAAGTACAAGAAAGCCATGGTGTCCAACGCACAGCTGGACAACGACAAGGCCAACCTCATCTACCAGGTGGACACGCTGAAGGACGTCATCGAGGAGATGGAGGAGCAGACGGCCGAGATGAGGCGGGAGCTGGAGGACAAGACCAAGGTGAGAACAAAACAAAACAAAAAGTGTTTGACCTAAGTTATAAATAAAACCAATGGATGACGTGGCCTGAATGTCCCGTCTGTCCTTTCAGGAAGTAGAAAGACAAAAACACACATGTTCGGTCCTGCAGCACAAACAGGAAGAACTCAAGGAGGGAATTCGCCAGAGAGACGAGCTTATAGAGGTACGACTGCACACACGGTAAATACAACCAACTTAGAGTTTCTACAGAGACACACARTCTACCAGAGAGAACAATTAATACACTGAATTAAAAAATACAACTTATGTTGCTTTAAAATGTATTTTTGTTTTTGTGTGGTAAATTAGCCACAAGTTAAAAATAAAATATTAAGATTGTAAGACTTGGTCAGATGGAATATGCCTGCAGTGTAGAGATAAATAAAACATAAAGCTGAACCAAATGTTTTAAAGTCGGCATCCCAAAGGTCCTGGCAGAACATCAKTGCTGTGTGAAATCCACAAAAGTTCAACAGGTTTAGTTTGAGCCTATAAAAAATCGAGTCTGTTTATCTCTGTATAAAGACACAAATAAAGTTTAGAGCTCCATCTTCAAACTGGTTTTTGATTCACTTTAATACGTTGAGAAAAACTCCCTCAGTAACAAAAAGAAAAGAGGTGGAGCTCTGCTTTTTTACTGGCTTCATGGAATTTTCCAGATTTTTAGCCCTGCTCACCAGGAGAAACAAACATCACTGATTTCAGCAGCAGCATCAAGGAAAAATGTTTTTTATGTCAACAAATAGTTTAGATTCTGAGCTTAGTATCCATAAAAAACACTTCACATATATGATGATATTTAATATAGAAAAGATGAAAAGAAACTCAACAGGTTTCAGGTTGATGGTGATTTTCATCCAGATAAACTCATCAGACCCCCCAAACTTGGTACTAAAATAAAGATAATTTAGTTTCCTACAGTCTACAGGACCCTGAATGTCACATCAGGGTCTGAACCTGCCCCAGTGGAAGCAGCAGTCACCCACTCCTCTGCATGGATTACTCACTAAACACAGTAATAAATAATAAATCCACTTATGGCAAAACTCCTTCTTGTATCAGTTATTTTTAGAGTTAAATAAAGCTTTAATCCAGGAGAAACAATTACCTGAAAGTTTTACCAGCTACGTCCGGTCCACGTGAAAAATCTGGTAAATGAATTGTTTTATTAAAGTCAGTCCTTAATTTTTAYTTTTTGCATTATAAGAAACCAAACAGTAACTAGACGTGGGTTTTTACGATGTAAAAACAAGTGTGCATTGCCATGTAGCATGGCTTTACCTGCAGTATTGGACTTGCAGAATGAACTTTGACCAAGTTCAAATGTGTTTTCTATACCAGCTTCTGCCTGTCATATGAGCAGGTGTTTGTAATTAAGGTAATTGTGTGACAACATGAAGTTGGAAAATATTTTTTGTTAAAGTTGCATTAGCTGGGTTTAAACCCTGATCTCCCACATGAAAGTCCATGACATAGACCATTAGACCAATGGAGCTGTGGCACAAGGTGGTGGCAGGGGTTGCTTTGTATGTGTGCAGAAAGAGGCCACATTGCCAATACAATTATTGACACAAAAATTCATAATATTACAACAATAGAGCAGTATTAAGACTATTATAGTAAAACATCAAAATATAATCATATTAGTATTGTAAACACTGAAATATTGAGATAAAAAAAACTATGTTTCAGTACCAAGTTGAGTACAGCTGGGGGCAGTATTGGACCATTACAAGGCCCCATTGACTCCAATTATATGAATTTGGAATAAAGTTTAAACATTAATATTTCAAAAACTACAAGTTGTACAGGCACCAAAAGGCATAGCCATCATTTGGCACAGGACCTTTACAGATAGAAATTACAAAGGCAGCTGTAGGACAAAGTATGCAGGAGGAGAAGCATGGCAAAGTTGAGATGACTTGGATGGGAAATGAATCACAATAGTGCACACTGATAAATAAATAAATAAATAAATGTTAATCTGATTGATTTCAAGAACAAAACACAAAACATCCAATCTGATCTCCTTCTAGTGGTTTTAAACATAAAATACAGTACAAGTACACAGAAAAGTACCCCGTTTAAATGACTGTACTTGGGTTGGAAGCTGCTCCTGATGGAAACCTCAGGTTGTTCAGGAGGTGCTGACGCCTCCTCATCCTGCAGGAGCTTCTTTGCGTCTCACCGTGTGCCTCCTGATCTTTGTCCGAGTGTTTTTCTCCTCGTTTTCACCTGTTCTTTGTTCCGTTCCTGTCCTGTTCTGTGTCGCTCCTCTTCATCGCTCCTCCTCGCCGCTCCAGGAGAGCCAGCGAATGCAGACTAAGTTAGACGGCCTCAGCAGAGAGGTGTTTGACCTGCAGGAAACCATAAACTGGAAGGACAAAAAGATGGCGGTAGGAGCGCGAGAGGTGGCGGCGGCCGGCGTTCCTGCTGCCTCTGCATGATCAGTGAATAACCTCACCTGCTTCCTGCACCTGTGCGGGCCTCCTGCACCTGTGCGGGCCTCCTGCACCTGTGCGGGCCTCCTGCACCTGTGTGGGCCTCCTGCACCTGTGTGGGCCTCCTGCATGTCATAAGAAATGTTTGGATCCAGACGTAACGTTTGTTTTGACCTGGCATAAAGAGGTCA